GGTGGCAGGAGGGCGCACTTGATTCGATTGCCAGCTGGTTATCAGAAGAATACTGGCTACAGTACACGTCAGCTTGAGCGGTGTCGCTCTGCGGCTACTTGTTTTTTAAGTATTATACTTTATTTTTTCAGAAAATCACTTTTATATACTTTTTATCCATGGCATAAATACTTTTACAATACTTTTTTCGCCAAAGCGATCGCGTCAAACTGTTCAGACTTACATGTTAGGGTCACATATATTTGATGAGATTAAAGAATTGCTTTGCTTAGTTTGGGTTGACAGAAGTGATGTGTTGCTACTGTTCAGTGGAGTGTGTTTGCTCTTCAGCTCTCTGCTGTTCACGGTGACAATGACAGCAGCATTTTGCAGTGTTTCCCCTGCATTGACACGAGAGGGCGGGCCACCGTCGACTCAAATTCTCAAGCCGGTCACACAGAGAATTTTGTCAAAAAAACCGCCTCGCTGGCACGAAATTTCTCGGCACTTGAAAAGAGATTCAAGAATTCTCACTACAATGTGTCAGTAAAGATTCAGAATGCAACCAAATTGCACCTTTTTTCAAAAATTTCCTGGGGGGCGGCATTTAGTGCCCTAGGAACCACATCCTAACTGAGCAAAGCACGTTGCATCCTTTCCTTTGCTAGGCGCTTGAACGACAGACACCACAAAAAAAAATTACCGCCTCACAGACTTTCCTGGCCAAGGGATTGCATTGCATATACCACAACTGCAGGTTCAAAGAGACAATCCTCAAGGGACATTGCCACACATATTCCTGAAGGCTGGTTTACATGCTGCACATCCAGGCTTATAAGGTATAACGGCTACCACTTAACAAGTGACTTACAAATCATGGTACAGGTGAAAAATTTATACTTTTTTTTAACGATTGTGGTATTTTGTACTGGACAGCAGAGTTTATATATTTTTTGTAATATCCTGGTGGCAGGCCACTTTTGGCCTAAATTTTTTGGGTTTAAGAGTAATCTTAAAATTAATGCAGAAAATCTGCTCGTGAAGAATGTATACTCGCGGTGCCACTAAAAAAAGTGAGGAGGTAGTCTACAATAACATAATCATTATCAAGCAGGAAAATGTTGGTCTCGTTCAAGGTTGGCTGCCGATCAGCAATCGTGTCGACGAGTCAGCGATGCAGGGTTGTCGTTTGCAGTGGCTCGCTCTGCGGTCAAGCGCCGACACTGCTGCCCCTGCCTGGCACGAACCGACGAATCCACTTTGACAATTGGAGAACATCGGACGCGCCGCCGGCAATTCAACGGTGAGTTATACCGGCGGCATCGTGCTAGTCAGTCACGACTTCCGTCTCATCAACCAGGTAGGTGTGGGTGTGGCAGAGGTAGATGATGGCCAGATAGGTGTGGGTGTTGGTGCAAAGGGAGGGGGTTTTTTGATTGGATTGGGCCAGGTATGGTGTCGGTATGGCAGAGGTAGGATGAATGGCCAGGTAGGTGTGGGATGTGCAGAGGTAGATGATGGCCAGGTACTGGTGTGGGTGTGGCGAGGTAGAGACTGGCCAGGTAGGGGGTGAGGGTTGGCAGAGGTAGATGATGGCCAGATAGGTCGTGGAGTGTAGCAGAGGGTTAGATGATGGCCAGATAAGAGTGTGGGTGTTTGGCAGAGGTAGATGATGGCCAGATAGGTGCTGGGCTGTAGCAGAGGTAGATGGATGGCCAGATGGTGTGGGTGTGGCAGAGCGTAGATGATGGCAAGTAGGTGTGGGTGTGGCAGAGGTACGCATGATGGCGAGATAGTGTGGGTGTGGCAGAGGTAGATGATGGCCAGATAGGTGCGTGGGTGTGGCGAGGGTCAGATGATGGCCAGATAGGTGTGGGTGTGGAGAGGTAGTAGATGATTGGCCAGGTAGGTGTGACGGTGGCCAGAGGTAGGATGATGGCCAGGTACGGTGTTGTGGGTGGGGTACATGTTGATGATGGCCAGGTAGGTGTTTTGTGGGTGGAGGTACAGAGTACGTGTATGCAGATAGGTGTGGGTGCTGGCAGAGGTAGGATGATGGCAAGATAGGTGGGGGATTGCCTGGCCAGAGGTAGAGATGGCCAGATAGGTGTGGGTGCTGGACCAGAGGTAAGATGATGGCCAGGTAGGTGTGGACTGTGGCAGGGTTCAGAATGCTGGCAGCGTAGGTTGTGGTGTTGGTGCAGCGTAGATGATGGCGCAGATAGGTGTGGGCTGTGCCATGAGAGTAGATGATGGCCAGATAGGTGTGGGTGTGGGCAAGGATAGGATGATGCCAGGTAGGTGTGGGTGTGGCAGAGGCTACGATGATGGCCAGATAGGTGGGGTGTGGCATGAGGTAGATGATGGCAAGGTAGGCTGTGAGGTTGTGCCAGAGGTAGATGAATGGCCAGGATAGGTGTGGCAGAGGTAGGATGTGGCCAGATAGGTGTGGGGCTGTGGCAGAGATAGATGATGGCCGATAGGTGTGGGTGTGGCAGAGGTGATGATGGCAGATAGGTGTGGGTGTGCAGAGGGTTAGGATGATGGCAAGACTTATGGTGTGGGTGTGGCAAGACGGTAGTGATGGCAGGTAGGTGTGGGTGTGGCAGAAGGCTGATGATGGCCAGAGAGGTGTGGGTTGTGGCCCAAGTTAGATGATGGCCAGATAGGTGTGGGTTGTGGCAAGAGGTAGATGATGGCAGATAGCTGTGTGGGTGTGCAAGAGAGTAAGATGATGGCAGGATAGGTGTGGGTGTGGCAGGAGGTACATGATGGCCGATAGGCTGTGGGTGTGCGCAGAGGTAGATGATGGCCAAGTAGGTGTGGGTCTTGTGTGAAGAGGTAGATGATGGCAGATAGGTGTGGGTGTGGCAGAGGTACATGATGGCCAGATAGGTGTGGGTGTGGCAGAGGTAGATGATGGCCAGATAGGTGTGGGTGTGGCAGAGGTAGATGATGGCCAGATAGGTGTGGGTGTGGCAGAGGTAGATGATGGCCAGATAGGTGTGGGTGTGGCAGAGGTTGATGATGGCCAGATAGGTGTGGGTGTGGCAGAGGTTGATGATGGCCAGATAGGTGTGGGTGTGGCAGAGGTAGATGATGGCCAGGTAGGTGTTGTGGGTGGGGTACAGGTAGATGATGGTCAGGTAGGTGTGCGTGTAGCACAGGTAGATTATGACTAGGTAGGTGTTGATGTAAGACAATGTTTGTGATTTTAAGCAGTCTGAATCAAATTTCTGAGCGTGCAGCTAACGCAACAAGGTGGCAAAAGTATGGCCAATGATCAACACTAGCAGTGAGTGGTACTACACTACACTACACTACACTAGGGGTGCTGTTAACTGCAATGCATGTGTGATAATGCCCATGCTGTTATTCATGCTGTAGGTCGCTGAGGAGATCTGGGTGTGCGAGAAGCAGAAGGTGACAAAGTGGAAAGGTGACATTCTCGGCTATAAAGATCACCTCAAGAAGAAGATGCTGGCAGATGAAGCCAAGCAAAAGTGAATCTTGTTCTTGTAACTGATGCATTTTCACCGAACAGACATTTCCAGCAGGTGGCGGCGACAGCTTTGCATCTAGTTTGGTGCCCTCAGGTTGTAAGCGATGGGCCAAGTGAGCGCTTCACATGCTAGTCAATCGATTGCCTTGACGTTCGTACTAGACACACTAGGGTGTAAGTTTGTTGAAAATGTGATACCTGAATCCAATCCATGAATCGATTATTTATTACCGGAATCAGAGACTCTAATAACTCAAATATGTAACATGGCTAGGGTATCTTTCACATCGTTTCGAATTATTTAAGAATCACATGCACATGACGCGGAATGTGCATAATAGCTGGTAGATGTCAACCGAGTCATGCACACATGTTGTTTTAGACTGATGCTTTTATGTGTATGTGTAAAGCTGGGTTTATTCTGTTCTCCTTTAATCAGAATACAGGCAATGCAATTTCAACATTTTTTTCACCAATTATTCAAGTGATTGGTTGAGTTCGCCACCTTTGATTGACTGGTTGACAGGGTTACCACCTTGTAACACGTTCCATTTATCATTTGTTTGTGTTTATAAGTTAAAGAAGCAGCCAACTAGTTGGTCAGCTTTAATCAGTAAACTTCCACGTTCCCAGTAATTTAACTCGCTTATTCAGCTGAGAACTATTTCCATCTCAGTTATTAGTGGAATCCCAGCTTAATTTCGGTCTATAATAGATTTCATGTTTATTAACGACATAACACGGTCGTTGAATTCGGTGTTTGCTATTTGTTTACCAAACTAGCTGAAATTTGACCATATGTTTACCTGTTTATGTATATAAATCCGTAATCTCACAAGAGACATATCGTAAAATACTCTTTCTTATTTCAACAACCTAGCCATCTTTACTTAGCGAATCGATAGCATGTGATTGTACTGCTGACTTCTGATGCGTGCATATAAATAGGCGTAGAATTTCATGCATGGAATGCTGTGCAAATGAATATGCACAAAACGGATGTGATACGTCAGGATCTCATTGTTGCATTTAGATATGTGACGATTGCTTGTGTAGGGCTCTGAGAGGTGCATCATCTACAGGTTTAATTCGTGCGATTCACGTGAATTAACCTGATGTCTTGGTATCCAATATCTGTACCGATCTTTCACTCGATTGAATTGCACTGATGTACTGCTGTGGTACCGGTGTGTACAGTCTTGATATTAATGGTGTACGACCATGATTCTCAAATGTGCAGCTGAGGTTGTCTTATGTGTGGGCATGATTGTTAGGTGCACAACGATAAATTTCATGTACATAGCAACGGTCATCAAGTGTTCAGTGTGTGATCATCGTGTGTGATATCATGGTCAGGTGCGAAGGCATGATTGTCAGATGTGCAGACAGGATTTTCATGTGTGCAGACATGATGGTCAGGTGTGCAAACATGATTGTCAGGTGTGAAGGCATGATTGTTAGGTGTGCAGAAATGCTTGTCTGATGGGAAGACATGATAGTCATGTGTGCAGATGTTATAGTCGGGTGTGAAGGCATGGTTGTTAGGTGTGCAGCCATGATTCTAATGGGGTGCAGTCCGGATTCAAAAAGATACAAAATAAAAAAAATCAGAAGTGTAACCAAAGGTAATGCCAACGTGCTTAGCCAGTACAGTGCACTGACTGCGCACACGCTTGCTTTTGGTTTTGTCGTATTAATTATTTTAGGCATTGCTTTTATTTAAATATACCTATTAATTTACTGAAACCATGAGAGAAACGCATTTGAAAATCCAATAAAAAGAGTAAAAAGGCAATTTTGTGATGTTTCGTGTTTTTTTTCTCACCCTATAGTTCGCTATTATCTACTTCTGATAATATATTGAGAATTATGTCACGAATTACAGACAACGAATCTATGCGGTGAAAATTTATTTCATGAACGGTGTTTATAATCCACCGCCTATTTGCTTTGGACCTGGAAGTAAATTCTATCAAACCAATTCCTTCACCAAGTTCTAGTATAAGGTCTCTAGAAACACCATTTAACGTTGAAGACTCTACCTAGTGCAGTAGTGGGGAGAATACTTAAAAATATATCTCAGCTGAGGAAGCACCTACAGAGCTCAATAACCACTTCCAAATGATCAGAATAGTCGAATTATTTCAGACGGAGCATGGTTTAGAAGACCCAAACCCTTTACTTTTAGAGAAAATCACAAAAAAACAATTTTTAATCCCTACGCGAATAGCTTAAAACCAGAATTTCAACATATTTGAACAGAAGACAATTCAATAATCATTCTGAGCTAACGATTGATGATATTGTATAAAATACAGTTCATGTCATGAGCTAGATTAGTAGATTGATTCTACTTAGATTTACTTGTCACTTCAAGATTAGAAAAATTCTTTAGAATAAAACACTTTAAACACTAGAAAAGATAGAGAAATAGTGCAAAAGGAGTTTTATATCAGAGCGATCACAGATTATATGTTCATCATCCAACTCGGAGAACAATCATCCCCCTCATCTTGAGATTCAAAGTTTTCATCATTACCCTTATCGCAATCTTGGTCTTAGAACGTTGCCTTCTCGCACCATGCTTTCTTGCAGCATTCGTCATCACAGTCACATATGTCAGTACAGACTAACCCATGTTTTCTGCAGCTACATTGGTTGTTTCCACATCCTTTCTTGCAGGCACAAGAAAGTATCTTCTGGGCAGATGTCTAAATGTCCTTGCACAGGTACCAGCTTCCCGCCACATCTCTCCCAGCCGTATTCTTCTGGCTCAAGGCTGTTCCCGAGCCATTGCTGGACCTGATGAAAAATCGTGTTGCTTTTGGGATTAAAAATTATTTAATGATTGAAGTTAAATCGACCATCTATTTTCTAAAGCAAAAAAGAGAACTGGACCTAGACCTCACCTGAAGGTAAATCCTCAGAATATGCAGTAAGCAGTAGCAGTAACTAAGCAGTAGCAGACGTAGGAGGAAGGTCCTTTAACTGAATAGCCTTCTTCCCATCCAACTTTCTCCTTTAAATCCTGAAATTAATCATGATTAAGATAATTATATTTAATTATTATAAAGGTTTTAGTAATTTCATTCATAATACTAATAGACTGTTCAATTGAACATAATATATTGCAGTCATAAACCAATCTTAAAGCAGTGTTTACTCAGTACTGTAAATTAAGTACTCACCAAAGTCTGAGGTCCTCGAGTGAATCGTGGACACCTGGAGTGTTATAGGTAGGACAAAATGTAACTCCCAATATGCTCCACGACATCAAAATCAGGGTGCTCCTCGTACAATACGCTACATTCCAATACACTGTTGTCTTTGACAATTGCCTTTGCAAGTTTCGTCTTTCCGATGACGGCAAGTGATGAACAATGTCTGCTCGATTAAGGCATCGAGCCATTTGTCTATCACTTTTCTTATATCAACACAGCTATTTGAAGACAGGGGGGAACATGTAGATGTTGTTGGGTGTTTTATCCATCACTGCTTTGAAGTAATGGACAAGTAACACTAACAGATCCGTGTCGTCACCTACCAGAACAGTATTACCATGCTCCACTTCTGTAATTTAGCAAGGGTAAGTGCGAAGTAAGTTCGAAGAGTAGTGCTTCTACTGGCTGTCTTCTCTGGTGGCAATGATACTTTGTTGAGCTTTGGAGATACCCATCAAACATAATGTGGATCTGAGAGTCACCAAACATGTTCCGGATGAAGGAATGATATCCATCTATTATTGTCTGGAACGTTTCTTTCTTTGTCCATCCAACACGGTGTAGAAGGGCACCACCATCCAATACGATCCTACCAACATCGCCCTTCAGTAGAGTAACTCCGACTTCAACGTCAAGTGTACACTCTTCTACAAGATACGTTGCTAAGTCTGCCTTTGCTGGCGATCTCATGTAGCCATTAACATCAAAAATGAGCATCTATAACGAGCATAACTCGTACTCCAAGCACTCCTCTAGTGTTGCATTGACTTCTTCAGATGATGCGAAGTTGAGAGCACGCTGAAACAACAGCTGGGGATCGACGTTTATACTCATAGTGGAGTCAGCAACCTTGACCACACTTTTTGAATGTATTTGAACAGCCAAAGATGCTTTCTTGATGGTTAGAGTTAGAGGATTTTGTCCTACCATTGACTCAAGAATGAGCAACCCACCATCGTAAGCTTTGTGAACATTCACTTCCTTTGGAGCTACAAGACCAGTTGCGAGATTCATCACATGTGTGTGCTTGACATTCGGATCAAACAAACATCTGTCTGAGAAGTAGTTCTCGATGAGAGTCATGTGGTTTAAATCGTGCTTCAACCGAGTACTTCCTTCTTGCTTCACCTTGACTGAGCTTTGTTCCGTAGTTCGTAAGTCAACCCCCGTCATCTCTCTTACCTTGGTGTCGATTGTACCTACTACAGGTCGGGAGAGAACCCAGATTAGATAGTTGAGCTCGTTAAAACCCCTCCCTCGAGTTAACCCGCTATTACCTTTCAGTGTTGCCATCAATGATTGTTCGATCGCTAGATCCACGGAAACACCAGCATAGGGCCTGTTACTCCTAACCACAAAGTGACCCTTCTTGAATGTTGGCACAGTCCAATCATCGAGGTTCTCCATCTCCTCGATGAACCAGTACACACACCTCGTGTATGCTCAGTGCCCTGTTGCAGCCAGGTAGGGGAGCATCAGCTTTAGAGACGTTAAGTATTCCTCAGCATGAAAGTTTCTCAGCAGAATATCATACATGTCTATATGTACGTGAGATACAGCTGGTTTGTACCCGAAGTAGAGACTGCATCTTTCACCTTATGGAGTACTTCCATGAGGTTAGCAACAACCAGTGCATCCTTCAATGTTTTTGGGTCAAATTCTGATTTATTGTTCTCCATGCGGGATGGTAGCTTCAGAGGCAGCTTCAACAGCATATGTGTCTTATTCATCCACCTGTTCTATCGGCATCTTTTTCAACACTGATGTTGTCAGCCCGTGAGCCCTGATAGCTCTCTCGTATGACTTCCCATTCAGTATCTTCTTTACTGGCTCCTCCCCATACACAGTTGAGAATGCCTGGGCTAACCCACTGTTTTTCATGACATAGCCCATGCTTCCCAGAAAACTGCCATGGGTATGGAAGTTTCCAAGTAGCAATATCAGCTTCAGCAGCATCTCATGCTTGACTATCATGGCAAGCTTCCAGATCGAAACCGATAATCGGTGTTCCTGGGAGCTTCAGTCTTCTGTGTCTTCTGTTATCACATAGTCAAGAGTTGTGTACATACAGTTCCAGTCGGTCGACGGTAGATCTATGATTGAGAGAAACTCCACCATGTGCTTTCCTGGAATAGCATTCCCTTCAGTTACTACATGCATTACTCCTGATATCTGGGGTGGTTTAGTATTCAGGATAGAGGAGCTCACTCTTAGGTAGTCGATAAGCCCAGACGATGTTTGTGTCATAAGTCTACTTATATCTATCTTTTCATTCAAGACAAGTCCTTTGATTGTCTTTTCCTTGTCTCGGGGATAGGTCTTTATAGTAATAGACCTCTTTAATATCTCATCATTTCCACAATCAGACACTATCTGAAAACTATGCTGCCGTCTCAGTAACAACAATGATTACTGAATTGTTTTGTTTTGATCATATATGTTGAAATTCGACGAAATAATTCACACGAAAATACGACTAGATCTTCAAGGACACACTGTTCACACACTTAACACCTCGGTACATGAGTAAAATAGACCAATATAGTTTTGATATATATATATATATATGCGAGCTATATTCGGACTTTTTTCATGGAAAAGCACTTGGCACTTATATAAAATGCAACGTATGCATCTTCGATGCGTGCCCAAATGGTTTTACTGTGGCAGGTGGTTGTACGGGTACACATGCAGCACAGTCAGGAAGCTTGTGACCGCACACACTACTACATAACGTTGAGCTAATATTCCAGCAACATTCGTGCAGCAATACAGTTTACACAGATTTTATCTAAACACTCTTTATTTAAACAGCTCCAAGTTCAAGCGAGGTTTCTCAAGAAACCTTGCTTCCAACGTGCACACAATGTGGGTGATGTGCAATTGTTTTCCATACGTCGAAGACATTTAAAATGGAAGACTACGGTTACCTGTTGTGCATACATATAGCCAGACACCCAGTATTGGCTTGCTGTCTAACCTCAGCATCTAGATTTGCTATAGCCAAGAATCTGCACACAGACACACAGACACACAGACACACACATACACACACACACACGCGCGCACAGTGATGCCAGAGGCGTGTTCAACAGAGCGAACGCTTGCGTGCGCTCGCCTTCGGAACGACACTGCATGGTCAGGTTCCCGAGGCTGTTCGCGCAGCGCGCAATTTGTTTTCAAGATGGCAACGGGCAATCTGGCGAATGCGAATCTAACACTTCTGACTTTGGGAAATTACAATTGGGAAGGCGCAATTACAATCATGGGCAATGGGTCGAAATAAGGCATATCAATTTCGTCTGCTAATTCGTTTTTAAAACAGTACTTGTTCGAAGACGCGATTAAAATCTACTGAGGAAGCCGCCATCTTGGATAAAGCGAGGGCCCGGTGTTGTTCAAGTGGCGCTGTGCTCGTGCTGCGAGCGTTCGCTGCGAGCGTTCGCGCTGTTGAACATGGCTCAGGACTCGATGCAGCATCCAGGGATGCACTGTGCCCTGGATTGTGGCAAAAATTAAAAGCAGACGTCTAATAATTGTAAATGATACTACAATAAATAAAATAAATACAATAAATATTACAGCAAAATTATCTCTTTCGCCTAATAAAGCAAATACTATCCTAATATGGTTTCTATATTTAAACTTTTTTAAAGTGTATCACTCACTCAAGCCCAAATTATATACCCCCACCACCTAATGAAAATATAATCAAGTTTTGGATATGGATGAAGTAAACCAATCTAAAAATCTAAGAGCTAGAGCTATTCACCTGCTTAAAACTATAAAACTATAATCACGAGGAAAACGCAATAAGAAGCTCAGTCACAAGACACATAATTTGCACCACATATTACGATAAACCAGTCTACATCTACCTACTCTCCCATGTAGCTAGGTCAAATTCAAATGCATGTTGAGCAGTTCAAAGCCAGCAACGCTATAAATACACGTATAGTAATTATGATGCCCCTGGCTGTTTCGATTGCCAAAGAAAAATGCCTGATTATATGTGAGCCTTGGAACTTTCCTTGATGTCGCATCACGTGCTTAAGGTGTTATTCACTTGGAAATTGCGCTGTCTCCCTTGATATTAAATGCACATGAGGCAAGTCTTCTATTTGGTCACGGTGCACATGACACTGAAGGTTTCCCATAATCCTACAAATCTTCAACTAGCAATCGTACAAAGCAGAAGCAAATAGGCTATATTTTTACAAGCTAGCAATCGAATAAAAAATAAATAAATGTTTAGCCTACACTTTTAGACGATATCATTATTGACTTACAGAGCAGGTGTCAAACGGCTAGAGACTCATGGCATCTGCAACAATTGCTCTTGATCAGAGACTATGAAAAGACAAGTAGCTATGTGAAATTTAAATGACAGACGGTAAAGGCAGACTGACGACCGCTGCTAGCCAATGGTAAGCGTGGACAGATTTCTAGCCACATTCTGGATGGATGGAGATTGCAGAGTGATCCTCGCATTATGTTCTGCTTGTCTCAGCTTCCTGTCAAACGACTCTGACCGTACTTGAATCGACTCCCTCAGCGCTGACATGGAGTGTGCTATTGCTCGCTTCTACATAACAACAACAAACGATGACAGCAGATATTAATGATGATAAAACCCGTGCATACTATCAATCACGTTCTGCTGTAAAACTTTTAAATTAATAAATATTACATAAATTTAAGATTGTTATTTGCCAGATTTTTCATGAAGATGGCTGTTGCATGCATGCTCATTCGTGCGCTCTACACACCTCCTCCTGAGTAAATGCCTTCTCTTTTTGCAACGACTCTATCTTGAGTTCTTTCTCAATGATCTGGTGTCGTACCTGCTCCTTCCACATTTCGTCATGTCTCTTCACCCTAAAGTGGCGTAAAGGAATAGATTGAAACAGACAAATTGCCGCCCGAGAAAAGTTCCACATATATCACTGAGTCAAAAACTGAAGTACTATTCATCTCCCCGTGCCGTGATTACAGGCTACTTCTAATCCACTAGGAGCTATGCCCGTTTCAAATATACTATCAGATTTATGCTTAGATTTGCATCTCCTACCGAAATGCAGACGTTAACATGGTTACTGCGCAAGATAGCGATTGCAGTGTGGAAAAATTGTACGTATAACAAATTAACTAAATATACTAAACAATAGACAAACAATCAACCAAACAAGCATAGATAAATACCTCGAGAGGAGCACTTTGTGTTCTAGGTCCTTTCTCCGCCGTTGCTCCATTGCCTTGAATCGTCTTGCCTCGATGGCTGTGTTTGCTCGCATTGCTGCTTCCTGCTCCTTCTATACGACAGAAAAAGAGAAAAGCAAACGTCAGCGAGTCTTAGGACCTTTAAAAAAAACATGGTGGACAGCATCAGCTGATCACATCAGCATCGTCAAACTACCACACACCGAGTAAGCACCACTTTACAATTAGTGGGACAACCTGCATTATTTAGCATGCTTTAGTTACGCTCATAGGGTCTATGTCCCCCAGGGTACTATCGGAGGGTATACCCTGGGTACGGTTCAATATATCGGAACGTACCCTGGTAACTATCTGATATGGTTAGGGTTAGGGTTAGGGTTAGGGAATAGGCGTAGGCAACTCCCTAGACTCGTTAGTGGAGTAGGCGAGGTACGGTCCGGCATATTAGATAGTACCAGGGTATGTTCCGATATATCGAACCGTACCCAGGGTACCCTCCAATAGTACCCTGGGGGACATAGACCCTATCAGCTTTAGTTACAGATTCATGTCAGCTAATCGACCTATATATCTAAGTGATATAACATACCCCACTTGGATATTGTTCCTAGGTTTGACAAGCTAGAGGTGGCTAACACTCCATTAGGAGTGTTCCCAACTTTGATATCATTAATGATTAACCTAAATGACATTAAACCACAAACTAATATATGACCATATATATATATATATATATATATATATATATACATATATGTTATTATGACCATTAATGACATTAAAGTTGGGAACACTCCTAATGGAGTATCACCCAAAATATTGGACTTGAAATTATTTGAAAATATCTATGTAATCCATCCAATATGTGAATACGTAATTAGTATCAGAAGGGTGTGGTAAAAAATTGTTATAGCAGAGAGGGAAAGATAAAAGTATGGATATTTTTGAATGACCAAATTTATTCCATAGTTGAGGTAAAATATTAAGATTGTACAGTGCTGTATTTTACCTTATAATAATTTTATAAGGATTTAATACTCTGTTAAAGGTTACTGTAAGTTGGACTAGGTATTACAGGTACACAGTACCGGTATATAATGTTATGTTATGAAGAAGAACGTAAATATTCATTTGACCAAATGCATATTTTTTTCATTAATTTCTTTATAAATACTTACAAGGTATGCAGATGTTATATAAGGAATAGGCTGAATAGTGAATACCATTAAATTTTATTAGCTACAATGTAATTTTTTTCTTTAGAAAATAAGAACCTATTTATGAACCTAAATAGCCTCAATTTGTGCTAAGTACCATTTATGTAAGAACCTGTTTAGGCTAACTTGGGAAAATGCAGGTTCTTACTCGCTGGTTTTTACTGTATGACGACTTTTAGATTTTTCATTAATTAATTGCTAAGCAGTATTTACAGAATGTTCCTATTGCAATGCTGATTGGGTACAAACACACGTCATTCACTCCATGTGCACCTGGCAATTGCAGACAATGCTATCTGGTTAATTGGTAATGTTTCATATATTCTTTCCTAGTCAGTCTTGTAAACTCATAAACACGTTTGACCTACCTCATCTACCCTCGCATAGACGGTTTTGTTAGGGCATTTGTGACTTTGAATCTCACCTAGTGAGACTCCGACATCTTACTAATCTTTACCTGGGGGGGGGGGTCGTTAGTTTACCTGTGATATCTTACGTGTCATCACCCAGGTGAGTTTTGTTATATCATTAGTGACATCTCACTCTGTAACACCTGCTAGAGTTGTTGGGTGATTACTGACATCTTACCTGACTGCTGAGGCTGAGGAGATGCTCCCTCCATTGCTGCTGATCGTCCTCTATCATGTTGAGTCGCTCCCTGGAGCGATGCATCTTCATCTCCTTCTCAAGTCTAAAATGCAGAAAAGCACAACCTAGCTGACACCCTCTGCTGAGCATTAAGCGTGCAAGCAAATCACTGTTAAGGGGCATGCGCACCTACAACTGCTGTGAAAGTTATGGTGGCAGCAACGTAACTGGCTAGTTTCACGTAGTAAAATGGTAAACCAATCAGTTATCATGCTTTTTTATCACCATGGGCACAATGACCTGGAGCCTGTTGTCAGAAACAAAATTAGTCTTAATTAACATTAATCTTATCATTAACTTTTCCTCATTCCTCCATTCTGGACCTCTGTACACTGCAAATAAAAAACTTGTAACTTAATTTACCATGTTTCTGTCAACAGTCCATTAGAAAAATGTTAATGTTAAGACTAATTTCAAAACTAATTTTGTTTCTGACAATGCGCCCCGCAGGTTTACCTGAGCTAGTATGCTTTAGTTTAGCATAACTGATACGGAAACCAAACTAGTACAGGTACAAAACAGTTGCTACACTTGTATATTACACATAATTTGAATTTGTATCGAAATCATAAGGCTTACGATTTATGTCTTATCCTGTTTACTGTGTTCCACTGCACGGCCATCTGTCTCTCCTTAGCTTTTGCATGTTTCTCCTCAACATGGGATTCTAATGCCGCTATACCTTCTCTGGAATGCAGTAAACCTGTGGTATTAGTGATGGTATGATATCAGAAGTGAATAATAATAGATTATTATTATATAATTATTTTATATAATTATTTTATTATATTAGATTATCATAGATCTATTATTATTCACTCCTCATGATATGACAGTTTCACTAGAGAGACAGGAAAACATGGCTTAATGCATGGCAGATTGTTGGCATTCCATGATGATGATGCAATGGTGACATTCTGACAACCGAAGTATTGTAGCAAATTACTAAATAAGAGATGTTAACTTTACACCTTCACTTACATAAAATGTATATCTGCACTAGCTTTTAAATGATGATGAAAATGCTCATTTGCATGGTTGGCAGCCTGTTTGCCCTGTAAAAAAAAACAATATCAAACACAAGTTATCAGAAATGTAATAACTAGTAAATTCTCAAACGTCCACCAGATACCTACTACCACAAATTCACAGTTAGCTGTTGGTAACCACACACTCATTATTGCTACCTAAACAAATTCATGATGAATAGCCATGCACGTGTTATAAATACTTTTAAAAGCATTTATTCGTCAGCTACCTGTGAAAAGACTCATCACAGACACCTGTGCAAGTACTCGCCCCAGATACCTGTGCAAATACTCATCACAGACACCTGTGCAAGTACTCGTCCCAGATACCTGTGCAAATACTCATCACAGACACCTGTGCAAGTACTCGCCCCAGATACCTGTGCAAATACTTGTCACACATACCTGTGTACATACTTATCACAAATACCTATGCACATTCTTGTCACAGATACTTGTGCAAATAAGCATCAGAGATAGGTGCGTAAACGCAGTATACTTCTCACAGAAACCTGTGCAAGTGTTTGTCTTAAATACCCATGAAAAATTTAGTGATGCTCTTCTATAACACCAAGAACATATCTATTCGACGCACAGATATATGCTCAGATATGTTCACGGTAGCACCTACCAAGATGTTTGCCTTTGTCAGACTGGCTTTCTTGGCGCAGGCTGTATCCAGATCTTCCTGCCACGCATGCCTCAGCTCACTAAGGTACCTCTCCTCTGCCTCCCGCATCTCTTGAAGCCTCTCCTCCTGTTGCAGCCTCTTCTGTTCGCCCTTCATTGAGCTCAACAGCAGCTGTCGCGTCTGTAAAACGCAAATGCAGATGTTGTCACATAGGCCTGTTCGTGCCCAGACAAAACGAAATCTCACCTTCAAAGGGTCACCTGTCGTCATAATCCAGCGATTACAGAATGGTTTATAACGAGGAGCAAGCAGTGATTGCTTGAGTCCCGTGCTACCATATTTGAGCCCCTTCAAATCCACCTTACCGGCAGTATCAACAATTTCTGATAAGGATAACTGATCCACTTGAAAAAAACGAGCAGGAATACTGGATGTGCATGATCTGGATCATATAATCTGTTCAAATAAACATGCCAAATGTATGATTGGTTAGAGGGAGAGTAAGAGGCACTGGATTTGAAATCAATACACAAATAACTGATGTGGTTAGACTGCACATGTATGGAAGGTTAATCTATCGGAATACCAAATAATTAATATTCTCTAACACCATGCACACATGACATTTTTCACAACTTATTTGACACAATTGAATTCCTCAGAACTCACGTATCACTCCAAAGAACATGTCACATTAAAGGGTTAGACACACTACAGCAACAAATGACCAACTATAACCTTTGGTGATGAAGTCGCAGCAATTGGTCCAGCCACATGAGGTTAAAAGTGCTACAGATGAAATACTTTTGAAAAGGAAAAGCAACTTTGACAACACTGTAGGACTAAACATGTTCATGTGTACAGGCATCTTACCTTAAGCTCTTTCTGCATCTCTGACATAGCTTGCCATTTCTGATGGCTGTGCTCACTCTGTTGCAACCTTTCTTCTCTTTGGCAGTGCTCTGTTAAGTGCTTCCTAGCTGCAACAGCGTGCTGCAAGGTGCAATACGTGGCAGAGATGCGTGAAGCTGTGAAGTGCATCACGAACAAGCGCATAATCTATGACACAATACTGTGTGAAGAGCCAGTGCGATTGTGAGCAATTTTCACATTCAACAATATTGTACAAACGAACACAACGACAGTAAAATTCACTTTCCCCCGCTTATAACGATGAATGTGATCACTCGTACATATACGAACTGATGACTGATCGACCAGCAGGTAATATCATTATGACATTAAAAATTCCCTCAAGGACAACCTTCTGTGTTATTTCTTTTATCATCTGTGGGAAACTGGTGATACTTGAACTGGAAATAAGAGCACCTCACCCGGTCATCTGTTAGATCTCAAATCATGCAAATAAATAGTAATATCCCCTTGTATATTTTTGTATATATATGAATATATATATAGACCTGATTGCGTTCCTCCACATGGCGCCCCCATCTGTGAACTCTGCCACTGACCTTATTGTCTCGCTGCATGTGGCGCCACTGCGTGTGAACTATGCTACCGACCTGATTGTCTCACTGCGCGTGCCACCCCTATCAACCCGATTCTTTTGCTGCACGTGGCTCCCCCACGCATGGCGGCCCCATGTGTTGACCCTGCCACCGACGATAGCGTCGCTGTGCGTGGCGCCCCCATGTGTTGACCCTGCCACTGACCTGATTGCGACGCTGAGCGTGGTGCCCCCATGTGTTGACCCTGCCACCGACGATAGCGTCGCTGTGCGTGGCGCCCCCATGTGTTGACCCTGCCACCGACCTGATAGCGTCGCTGTGCATGGCGCCCCCATGTGTTGACACTGCTACCGCCCTGATTGTGTCGCTGCACGTGGCGCCCCCATGTGTTGACCCTGCCACCGACCTGATTGTGTCGCTGCACGTGGCGCCCCCATGCGTTGACCCTGCCACCGACCTGATTGCGACGCTGAGCGTGACTATGCAGCGGCATGTCGAGTCTGTGTGCCTCCTCCGCGTGCATGCGCATCAGCTGCTGCAGCCGTGCGTCCTCTTCCCACGTGCGGTGCGCGCGCTCCTGTATGTCCGCCAGTGCAACCTCCTCCTCGCCCCGCGATATCATCAGGGTTAAGATCTTACGGTCCTAAAAGTGGGTACGGGATCTCGGTTACCGCACAGCGATGTGTTCGACTCCAAACGATATCAAATTTAAAATGATCTTTGGATTTTATGTATAATATATAATATAGTACATTTTTATATAAATATATAATAACTTTTATATATATATATTATATTAAATATATTTATGATAATTTTTGAAATTAAATTAAATTATCTAGATACAATAATTATTAACTAAACAAAATCCAACATGAGTTAATAACTTCATAGATAAAATAACATTATATATATATATAATAATTTGCTTGAATAAACACATTTAAGTGAAGTTTAATAAGTTAAGTCAAACTAAAAACGAGTGCAAAGGGCAATTGCAAGGAACATCACGAATACTAAAGACTATCACAGGTCTGGGACATACACGTCACTGTTGTTTACAAGAACCTGAATATATTACATTCTTCCCAATACTTTATATTTCATACAAATTTTACTTTCTCTAGAAATTTTTTATTTTTATCTATTATTTTCACTTTATTTTCATATTTCATAATTACATTTTTGAGCGTTTTTGTGGATAACTTCTATAGGTATATCTCCCTAAACGTCAACATTCAAACTATTGAATATTCAGAGTGCTGACAAAAATCAACACCACATCATTTTTTTAAACCTGCATAATGCCTATTGCTTTTATGATTATGACTTTATGATCATGACTATTACTCTTACAACTATGCCTTTATAACCATACCTATTGCTGGAAAAATGTCGGCAACTGACGTTCATATAAATGAACTGTACAGTAAGCATATACAATATAGCATACCTGTTCTGACATCGTGGCCCCTTTGGCACCCCTGATGCGTCTTGGCAAGCTGAAATTTGGCGTACTTCTGGTCATGTAGTTGTTCAGTGGTGCCCTGTGTAATTCAAGTATGATCGAAGCACGTGTGATCAAATAACTCTAGTAACAGGAGGCAAATTGACACAACAATCGATTATGGAATACTACAATAAATATCCAAATGTAGTTCCTGAATCGTGCAACATTGGCACATGACAGTTTCCCACTCAGCGCCTCTAATACACCACATACTATACAAAGAACCAGCCAGCAATTACGTCTCGTCATGCAATGAGCCATCGTGCATACGTAGACTCGGATAATTTACGTTCACTGTTTCACATGGGTTACGCAGGAAAACATTCTGTAAAAATGAGACAGCTATTGATTGATGGAGCCACCTCTGCTCACTCCCAGACTGTGGCCATAAATCCTAATAAACACAAGTAACTAAGAGATGATATTACAGTGAAGCCTCTGGAGTACTTGGCAGCTGAAAATCACAAGATTCATGGAGCGATCGGTGGGCATTGTGAATGCATGCATAACGTAAGGAATCAATACATTATGCAGCAGTTTACAACTGTTATCTACATGTCCAAAACACTTCACGGTCTGCACGTGTCCATGAGTATGCATGCGTGCGTGTTTATTGTGCTACATCTAGAGCACCTACATGATTATTAAACAACACTGTGTCTGTACATAGAGGCAAATTACAATTAGAGCATAAAATTTGGCAATATTCACGTCAGACAAGTGGTATGGCAGATTTAAAATATTTACCAGACCAAACGTTTTTTTCACCAGATTTATTCAGCATAAATTGGAGAAACACTGATGTACTGATGTACTGTGAAGCTTATAGTATGTGACTAATGTCTTTCAACCACCTGCCTCTTGGATGGGTTAGACCCAATTTCTATCTGCCATGGTGGGTAGGCAGGATCCAGGATAGGCTTATTACACTTTAACAACTACATACATGTATGTTCATCATCATCATCATTCTAGTTTTGCATATCCAGGCCTGAATTAAACCTCTACCGAAGGTGTGGCCTAATGTTACGTTATATATTAGCTCTTGCTGTATTATAGAGTACCGAAGTGTGACGTCACGTTGGCAAGACAACGCACGGGCTGGTTCTACACAAGCCACTGGCTCCATAACGTTAACTGCGTGAAAATGTTGTGCGTACGTAAAACACGAGTGTGTGCGCTGCAGACAGCGGTAAAGCATCGGTAGCAAGTCGATCTTACAATATTTAATGAATTTAAATAAAAAAAAAATTTTTTTTTCGTTGCTTTTCACTTCCATCCTTTGGAAATCTATCAAAACTGCAATAATGACTCTCAGAATGATGGTTACAATCGGGTACAAAACACGACACGCAGTTAATGTTACCAGAGCATATGATTGTGTAGAACCAGCAGGCTCGTTGTCATGCCACCGTGACGTCATCACTTCGGTACTCTATTAGCTCTTGATTTTATGTACCTGGCTCCACCGGCGACAGACCGGGGTCTTGCATGTTTGGGCATGTTGTAGCTGACCTTTCGTAAAGAATGCGCTGTCGGTTTTGAAGACACCATGCTGCGCTGACTTGCCGTCTCACTTTCTTCTGTTTCTTTTCCACTATAAAATCATTCTAATCAGTTTCAGGTTACATTTCTTGATGCCCTGAATCAAAACATTAGTAGTGTAGAAACCACGTTTTTATCAACTGCATAATATTGTTCAATTACATATCTTTTAATATGACATCATGACTATAAAAAATCAACATTAAGCTAGCCTTAAGAATATTTTGATTTGTACATATATGCAGTTAGGCAGTTAGGTAGATAGGCAGGCAGACAGGCAGGCAGGCAGGTAAGCAAAAAGGTAAGTTGGTATGTCAGTGTGTGTGTGCGTGCGTGCGTGCGTGTATGCGTGCCTGCGCACACGTGCATACTGTGTGCATGCATGCCGTGTGTGTGGTAGAATTTCTATATACGACAACGTACCTAGCTGTGTTAGTGGTCGATTTGGGTCTGTGCTGTCCAGTTCTACTGTAGCCTATAATTTTGGCTTGAGATCTTGGATTTTGGATTTTGGCCTGTCTTGAGATCTGCTGCAGCTGACCACTGACCTTATGAGAATTCATATTCCTGACTTCCAATGAGTCATCTACCCAGGCAAAAATTGTGAACATATACATACAAAATAAAAACGTAATGTATACAGTGCAATAAAATTCCATATACTGATGGGGAGAACTTTGTTTACAAATATAAACAATTTCAATTGTTTTATTATGTCTTTATATCAGCACATTGAACACAATTGACCTCTGTCTGTAGTGATTGATAGGTGACAATATTATCTTGCTGCAATATGTGCATTCTAAAAATGCTGAGTAGTAAGTGAAGTTAACAACATGGAGTGGATTCATGGATAACACGTTTAAACTGTTCTAACTAAACTGACCTAGCACCAATGATCAAGGAGGTTGTGGTTATCTCACTAAGACAGATATGTCAATTTCTTCAATAAGCATAGTTTGCTTCATGTGCGCACAAGTCATGATTGTGATTAAATATAATGGACTGCCATTTGTATCGTAGAGGCCCACATACAGAAAATCCCACTGACTGAACATACGCATATAGAAAAAAACACAGGCTGTAACTATAAACGAACGCAGTTTACCTGACTGGTAATCACCCTGATTGTATTCCATCGCATCCATATCCTTCTGAGCAATGCTGCGGTTCTTTTCATTATGCAGGCCGCCTGCCTTAATCTTTTCTGCTGTACTATGGTCACGAGAAACCACCCCTTTCTTCTCCGTGGACTTGTCTATCCGCCCGCGTGACATTGCAACGTTGTTCTTCGCTGTCTTCTCGCTCTTGTCGGTCCTCGGCTGGTCACTGAGCTCCTCGTCAATGATCTGATAACGAAGCTTCTTGCACTTGTTCAGCGTCACTGCGCGTGTTTTCTCGTACTGCTCATACCGTTTGTAGATGGCGGGCAGTGTGAGGCCCTCAGCAGTTAGCTCCTGCACAAACTCGTCAATGGACTTGTGCAGGAGTTGTACTGGCTGCAGGAGTAAACACGGATTCATATCATCATTATTATGTTATTTATTGCGTTAGCGATCGGCCAACAGTGCCTATTTTTAACGCTGTGGCTATATGCCCGGCAGCCGGGCACGGTCTTCGATTTCCTAAATGCCCGGAAGTTCCTAACCCTAACCCTAACCCTTGTTTACTTGAGATAACGCTGAAAATTAAAAACTGCCGGGCATTTAGGAAATCGAAGACCGTGCCCGGCAGCCGTCAGATATATGCCGGCTACCGGGCATATAGCAACTCTGTATTTTTAATGCCATATTATACATTATAATTTCTATATTAATTATTATATAGGGGTACCGAACTCTATATTATTACAATAAATAATTATTAGAGTGTCGAAATAATGACACTACTGATATTATTATTAGTATAATACTTACTTATAGTTAGACTTAAAATAATAATACTATTAGTATTATCAGGAGCTAATTAATGACAAAGGAGTAAGACACCTCTTTGGTACTGATTTCACTACATTTTTGTCGTACGAATTCGATGTGAATAAAAATACAAATGTATACAAACATGAGCTTCTTTTGTTCACTGGTCCTTATTCTATCTTCCGGTAGTATTACAAACCGCGTAGCTTCCTTAGTTTTGACATAAATCGTACTTTTTCACGACATGGTTTTCACGTAATTTACCGCACTGAGGCGATGCCAAGCGCTAAATTCGTACACACAGGCTGACACAGCTACTTGAAGGAGGCATGGCAGGGATCGCCTCACGCAGCGCCAGCGGCAACTGTACACGGGCATTAGTTACTAGAGCTAATGGTTGCTATGCAAAACACATGTGCGAAAAGCTACAATCGGCTGGAGCGTCAGTTTACTCATAACGATTCATACACATCATTCCTCCGCGGGTGAAGTAGTTCAGATATTTTACCAGCAGCGTTTATTTAAAAAAACTGCGGGATTCAACCATAAAAACAAGGCATTCTAACTATAGTTTAAATGTAAAATAGTTTTAATTTTTAAACCCAGCATGGGTGCAACGTAACTTAATTTCTAGGCGGATTTTCTGCACTCGACTAGGCTACGGCCGAAAAGCCCTGGCGCGCCTCCTTCAAGTAGCTGTGTGTGCAAATTTGGCGCTTGGCCTCGCCAGAATACGGTAACTAATGTGAAAACCATGTCGTGCAAAAGTACGAATTATGTCAAAACGAAGGAAGCTACGCGGTTTGCAGTCCTCGCCAAAAGACAAAATCCTTTACTGGACATTCGGTCCAGTAAAAAATAGATTTTTACCAGACCGAATGATATGTTACTGGACCAAAAAAATATTGAAACATTAAAACACAATTTCACATCATCTGTTGCTTTTCCTTTGGACATATCGTAAACATCTATGGCTTTTCGCTGCTCATCACCAGCTATGTCTGTTGACCCCGTCATGATAGAAAGCTGAAAAAGCTAGCATCGTTTAGTTTTATCCCATCCCTTTCGTGACGCGTCCAATCACGCAATGCATCGATAATTGCCAACTTTGTCATTAAATGTAGGTTTCACCTATTCTAGCCTTTGGACCCTTGTCCCAGTTGTTGTGTCCAGGTTAATCAGTGATAGTACTATAAACTTCCCATGAAGTTCATCTCACCGACTTGCGCATGTCAATCACATTTTCTTTTCATCTTTTCTCATATAACAGCCAATCCTCTTCCTATCGCTTTCCCACCACCACAACTAGATTAATTTGGTACAGCGCGTACTATACGATAGCCATAGGCAGGGATTTTTAGGGGCGTTAGGCATAGTGGGGTGTGCTGACTTCACGTACCCGTAGCCTCTGCCGTATTAGTTGATGTATGTTACCTGACACACGCGTCTGGTAAAAGCGCAAGAATTTCGTTGTCGGACTCCGTGCAAAAACCACCGGTTTTGTCCGACGTGCGTTCGACGCTTTTGCGCCGGATGACTGGGTTGGTCATATGACCAGAAGATACGAATAGCTTGCGACGCAGTGGAACAAGAAGCTGATGTTTGTATACATTTGTATTTCATTCATCATCGAACTCGGACGACAAATGATAGTGAATCAGTACCACATCGGGTTGTCTTACTCCTTTGTCATTATAGCTCCTGTTATTATAAATTATAATACTACCCGTGACAGTTTAACACTGCGCATGCGCTTAAGCCTAATGCGTCAAAGTCCGGGAGGAGGTTTCCGTCCAGTAATTGCGAGCTAAATTTCTTTTACTCGTGTGAAACGTGATAGGGTGTGAAAGGGCTGTTTCAATAGGACTCGTATTGGGCCTTAAGAAAGACTTTTTCTAGAGGCATGAATTGACCATAATTATAAATGTATCAAGTGTCATTGCTCACTCAGGTCATATCAATTATTCGCCGTGCATCTATTCCCTGGCTACGTGCACTGTTCTTCGACACAAAGCGTGAGCGACGCTGCGTATCCGGTTATGCAAGGTAGACAACGCATCAGAGATAAACAACATCGGCGGATGTTTAACGGATGTGCCCGCGGCCGGTGCCCCAGTCTTTACGTCGGCACAGATGCCGGTGGCTTAGCCGCCGGAGAATTTCTGACTTGCGGAAATATCTGAGATAGGGATGGCCTATGCGCGATTGCGCACTTCGCATGGCGTCTCGACTTCCGACTAATCATCAGCCGTCTTTGTGGTGGCGACAGATGTTCTGACCTGCGAAATATATGACTATAGGGATGCGTCCATGCGCGGATGCCGCACTTGCAGTTATGCTCAAATATGGCAATTTCCACTCCAGCTGAGACCACCAGCTTATCGGTGCGGAGAAGGAGGAGGGGCGGAGGAAGCTGGCAGGAGAAGGCGCCAGGAAGGGAGAAGGAGAGGGGGGAGGAAGCTGTGGGGACATGAGGAATTATGGGAGAAAGGGAGAAGTTTTGGTGGAAAAGTAGGAAGCGGCGATGGAGAAGCGGAGAGATGGTGTACAGAAGGAAGAGTGTGGAGAAAGCTCACTGGAGAAGTCGAGGATGGGGGGAAAGCATCTGGGGTGGAGAAGGGGGAGGCCGGGAGAACGCTCGATGAGAGAATGGAGGAGGAGGAGAAGCTGGTGGGAGAAGGAGGAAGGGGTGAGCAAGGGAGAAGCTTCGGGGAGCAAGGAGGAGGGGGGATGGAAGGGAGAGCAGGCAGGCGGAGGAGCTGCGGTGTCGAGAAGGAGGAAAGGGGAGAAGTGGCTTGGAGAAGGAGGAAGGGAGAGAAGGAGCGGATAGGAGAAGGAAAACGCTTGATAGAGAAGGGAGAGGTGCGAGACGGCGTGGTGAGAAGGAGGATGGGGGAGAAGCTTTGGTTGGAGAAGGAGGAAGGGGAGAAAGGGGTGAGAAGGAAGGGGAGAAGGGAGGAATCTGCCAACCCAGCCGCCTCGCTTGTACATCAATGCAAATGCCCGCCGCCCAGCCGCTTTCTCCTTGTCTTCCCCATTCCTCCTTCCACCAGCTTCGTCCTTTCTCACCTTCTTCCTCCTTCATCCACCAGCTTGTCTCCGCCTCACTCTTCTCCACCGGGCTTCTCGCTTTCTCCGCCTTCCTCCTTCTCACCAGGCTTCTTCCCCCTCCTCCGTTCTCCACCAGCTTCTCCCCCTCCTTACCCACCAGCTTCTCCTTCCTCCCCCTCCCCACCGATCTCCCGGCCTATCTCCTCCTCCTCCTTTCTCCCCTACGCCTCCTTCCTCCTCCAGCTTCTCCCCCCTTTCATCCTTCTCCAGCAGATTTTCCCTTCTCCCCTCCTCCTACCAGCTCCCTTCTCCCCATCCTTCTCCATTACTCGCCCCTCCTCCTTGTCCACCACTCTCTCACCCTTCTCCCTTCCTCATTCCTCCACCCAGCTTCTCCCGCTTCTCTGCTTTCTCCACCAGCTTTCTCCCTTCTCCCCCCCTCGCCTCCTCCACCAAGCTTTCCCTTCTCCCCGCTCCTTCCCCCCTGTCCTCTTCTCACCAGCTTTTCCCCTCCTCTTCTTCCACCCGATGCTTGCTCCCGCTCCTCCTTCTCCACAGCTTTCTCCCCTTCCTCATTCTTCAACTAGGCTTCTCCCTACTCCACCTACTAGTACTACTCAAGTTACTCTAAACTCCTCCTCCCATCCCCCTCCCGCCCTCCCTACACTGCTCCTTTGCTACCCTGTACCAGGAACTTGGGTATTTTACACAAACCTGTCAAGTGTTACACAACCGCAATCGTGTAAAACACAAAGACGAGCTTGTCATTGGTCGGGTCGGGTCGGCGGCTAATGCCGATCGGGTCGGGGGCGGATGCATCTCTCAGATTATATTTCGCACTTCGTCAGATATTTGGCGCGACACCGGGCCGTCTCTCGCGGAGATGCGAAACTCACTGGCGCGCAGACATAGGCGCAGAACTGTCAATCGGTGTATAGTTTAAGGGTATACTTTAAAACACTTACCCTGGCCCCAATACGTTCACATGCTTCCAGTGACCTGGGACTCGTGTTTAGCAATGTAACTCGCATCGTCGTCTGCTACACGGCCCCCTCCTCAAGTGTGCTACGAAATTAAGAATTCATAGGCCAGCCGTCGTAGCGCTAGGCTTCTTTATTATATAAATATAAATTGATTAAAATTCAAACAAATACCCGTATAGTTACTACTATAGTACTTACTCACTATCAGGATGTCTCAAGATGCGGTAGACCTTTGAAGCATGTGTAAACACCATGGGCACAAAATACGTGATCACGTAGTTGTTGCTCATAACTTGCAGTTTGCATATACAAATTATCACCGGCATAATGAATGAAAAACTCCAAGGAAAGCGAGACGATCGCCATAAGCCTTATCAACATTATTCAACAAAAACTTCTCTGCGAGATATCGTAAGCGGGGCCCGCTCAACAATACCAAGATGCAGCAAAAGCTACAAAAGAGCACCAAAAACATTCAAAATTAAATGGAGCCGCAATATTCACACATTACCTATATGTAATCATGGTGTATTCAGCGGCGGCGGGGTCAGTGAGGGTCGTACGCCCCTCCCAAAACTTTTTAAAAGCGTCCACATTTTTTTCCAGACATTTTTTTTTTCGGAGGGCCGCTTTTTACAATTGACATAAATGAAAAAGCATCAGGTACCAGCAATTGAGTCCAAATAGACATTTGCCAATTGCGTGACGTAAAATCGTATCCCAATCTCCGAAGCCCAATTTCTGCAAAACTGAGCCTTTTGTTTAAACAAGAATCTTTGCTTTCATAAAAGAGGAGACAAGACTGACAAAAGACAAAGACAAGAGCAAGTGCAAGGACAAAATAGTTCAAAAAACTGTTTTCAACTGTCAGTCTAGAAATACTTTTTTTTTAACCTGATTAAATTTTTTTTTGACACAATTTTTTGGTTTGTAATTGAAATTGTCAGTGGGCGGCGTGTAGTACAGGGGGGGTCCAGCGGGGGGTCCGCGAACCCCCCCGTGCTCGCGCAGAAAACGCACTTAAGGAGCGTCCTAATTCACAAATTTTTCGGGGAGGCGCCCCCCCAGACCCCCCCCCTTTCGCAGTTGCTCCAAAGATTTTCGGTTACGGTTTAGACCCCCCCCCTGGTACAAATCCTGGCTACACGCCCGCTGATTGTATTGACATGAAGTCACATCGTGCTTTGCTATTTAATTGTGGAAAAGGTCCAACAAATTATGATTACGACCCACCAGAAAAAATCCTGGATACACCCCTGATTATGTCATTATAGGCCGTACTATATTATATATATGATAGTAGTAGTATACTCGTACTATTATATATATATATATATATGTGTGCGTGACGCTAGTTGTGCGGGCTGTGGCTGTGTGTGTGTGAGCTGTGTGTGGTGTGCGCGGGCGTTCTGTGTGTGTGTCGTGTTATGTGTGTGCGGCCGTGTGTGTGACAGAGACTGCGGGGCGCGGTGCTGCGACGATGTCGTGTGCGAACGCTGTGGTGTGTGCTTGTGGTGTGTGATGTGTGTGTGTGTTATGTGTTTGTGTGTGTTGTGATGTGTGTGGTGGTGCGGGTGGCTGTGTGTGTGCCATTGTCGCTGTGTGTGTGTGTGTGTGTGTGGTGTGTGTGTGTGTACGTGTGTGTGTGTTCGTGTGTGTGTGTGTGTTGTGCTGTGGTGTGATGTGTGTATGTGTGTATGTGTGTGCAATTGTGTGGTGTGGTGTGCGTGTTTGTGTGTGTGTGTGTGTGTGTGTCGTGTGTGTGTGTGTGTGTGTGGTGTGTGTAGTGTGCGTGAGGTTAGGCTAGGCCGCGGTTATACGTGCCCGAAGCGGAAATATAAGACAGTCGTTAATTTCTCGCGGTGTGCCGGATTTAATGAATCCCAGGACGGGACGCACAGAGACGTACGCATTGCACGCACCAAGGTCGGCTGACACGCACATCCCTCGTTACTGCACACGACCACACTGAGGCTGGCGGCCGGCGCGCGCTACGCGATGCACGCACACGTGTACAGGTATACACAGCAGTATATCACAACACACACACCACACACACATCACACACACACACACTACACACACACACACACACCACACACACACGCGCGGGGGGCGCTCGCCGCTGGCGCGCGCGACGGTCACACACACACACACACCACACACAGACAGACGCACACACAGACACACACACAGACAAACACACACACAGCATGCACGAACGCACGTGCAACCACAACACTATGCACACACTACGCACGCGCACGCATTCGCACGCACGTGGCACGGACGCACCTGCTCACACACAACACACAGCACACACACTCCACGAGACACAGACACACACACACATATATATATATATAATATACGACACCACACATGCTTTCTATTTATTTTATCAGGAGCGTATAATGACAAATATGTGTCATTATACGCTCCTGATTTTATTTTATTTATTTATTAATTTAAAGACGGTACGTACATTTGTAACAGATAATATAACATGAGCTATATAGTGCGCTCCTCATGCACCGTCTGTGAAAAAACATTCTAGACGTATATAATTACGAGACCCTACGATTAATTAATGGCCTTCCAGGAACAAAATAGTGCAACATTGGTGAACTATTAGAACAGATGAGGGTTACTGTTGTATGTCACCTCAGAGCACATACATCAATATTGATTACGTATCAGTATTGATCAGTATTATAGATATACGTGATATGGTCACCTTTACGGGTGTTTGTTGATGTGTTTTGGTCCCTTCCGGTTTTTAGTCGGACCCGTCACTGAATGTTCACTTGACCGGTTGATCAATCGTGGTTGACAAAAGCATAGGGAGGCTAGGCGTAGGATCTGTGATTATAAACGTTTTGGTTATATTATAAATTACTAAATTAAAATACTGCTGTGTTTAATTTCGCATAATTTCGAACAGTGTTTATAAATTTACACATATTATTACGGGCGAGGTTTGGGATTACCGACCTGTGCCCTAAATAAATGTGCTACTACTACTAGTAGTAGTAGTGAGTACTACTAGTACTACTACTAGTACTAGTAGTAGTACTACTACTACTACTACTACTAGTACTGGTAGTAGTACTAGCCTCTGGCTCTGCTCTGCCTCTGGCTCAGCTACTGAGCTAGTGTAACTCGAAAAATACGTAAAACGCCGAAATATTAGCAAATGCGTAACTTTAAGATGGTGGTAACACCGATGGGCACAAAATACGATCACGTAGTTGTTCTCATAACTGCAGTTTGCATATACAAATTATCACCGGCATAATGAATGAAACTCCAAGGAAAGCGAGACGACGCCATACTTATCAACATATCAACAAATAACTTCTCGCGAGATATCGTAAGCCGGGCCCGTCAAAATACCAAGATGCAGCAAAAGGTACAAAAGAGCACCAAAAACATCAAAATTAAGGTACCGAAATTCACACATTATATATTATGTCATTATAT